TTTCATCTAAAAGAGTTCATAATCATGAACCAACATGTTGATATGTGTTTCCTTTACTTTGTTGGTTCCTTCGTATGTAACTTCAAACTTATCCCACATCTCTTTGGTTGTATCACAACTGAAGATTTTCTCATACTCTTCACTACTTATAACATTGTAGAGCAAATTTCACGCCTTATTGTTGACTTGTACAACTGCCATTTGCTCATCTGTATATGAATCTATATATTCGGGATCAACAAGTGGTTGAGCGGCAGCCGGCAGGGGATTATTCCTCTTTTTGATAACTCTCTAGACTTTAACATCATAAGCCTTTGCGTATATTTTCATATGCACTTTCCAGTGGGAGAAATGTTGTCCATTGAAGTATAGTGGCCTTACTTGCGAAGTTCCTTCTTGGAAGAGTGCTCCTATGATAACTTGATTCGCCATGATCTTTTCTCACAAGTTGTTAAGCAAAAGAAAAGTGTGAGCCTTGCTCTGATACTAATTGAAAGTACAAGAAAGGGGGTGGGGGGTGAATTGTTTATTTTTAAAATTAATCGCTACTAGTTGACTAGTTTTCTAATTAGTTGACTAGATATAATAACTTGATAACAGTAATGACAAAATTTAAGATACAGAAATTAAATGCAGGAATTAAAGACACCGAAATTTTTATACTGGTTCGGTTCAGTCCCCTTAGGTTGCAAGGGAGTTCTATTTCAGTGAATGAGTTTCTCGAGTACACAGTGAATGGTGTGATCTACACCGATAGCTCAGGTCCTATATCATTCATTTCTTTTTTATACAATGCCTCACCAGTGTTGGTCTCTCTTTCTTCTCTAACTTGTTACATAACAGGTCTAGTAGAGCTATAATGTTTGTTTGTAGTAGAACAAAGAGAGGGTATTTGGTTCGATCAAAGTATATGTGCTAAGGTTACATATACAAGTTTAAATACTTTAAGATAGGCTTGATTTCTGGAGAGATTTGTCAACCCAAGAGATTTGATCCTTAGAAAGAAATTGATTCTTTCCAAGAATAAGGTTATTCAGCAACGACTTTGTCTTGACGAGAGGATTTAATGACTTCCCTTATACTTGAATTGAGAGTGCTGGATATCCTTCCTTGAATATTGATCCTTCCAGATTTAGTATACTTGATTGATTATCTTGCAAGATCTTCGATACTCTTGATTGATTTGATTCCTAGTCTAGCCTTAACTTATTCCGTTAGTATCAATGATTCCTTTAATCTTGCATGATTTCCTTGATTTTCTCTGATTGATTCTGTCAATCTTGTATGTTATTCATGAGTTCCTTGATCTTCTCTGATTGATTCCTTCAATCTTGAATGTTATCCATGAGTTCATATACAAAGAACAAATATATTATTTTCATCATTAAAATCAGATCTAACAGCTGGAAGTTCATACACAGGTGCTCCAATCTCCAGTATATTATGCTGGAACTTTCCACGTATTGGAGTTCCAGCATAATATACTGAAAGTTCATAGACAGGTGCACCGATCTCCAGTATTTTTATGGTGGATTTTTCGTGTTGCAACAAAATAACGGCTATTTTTCAATGACTTTGCAAACACTGGCTATTTTTGTATGACCAGTCCGAAAACTGACTAGCCCATAGTAATAATGTGGGCCATCCACTTTTTAGTCTTGTAATTAAAAAATATCCACTATTATGAAGTTACAAATTGGGTGAAATTCCATGAAAAAATTTGGAGTTTGACTATGGAATTTGAAACTCCTTGACTATTTTAAATTATAGGGGCTGGGAAGTGACTATTTATGAGTTGGAATTTTTACCTTCCTATACACTATTTGAAAATTTATTACCCTCCCTACTCAAGTTTCAATTTAATTCCATAGACATATACAGTTTACCAATTATATAAACTTTAGGAATTAAATGAGTATCCCTTTATATTAGGTATTGAATAACGAATCAATTGTTTCCCATTCTTATTCTCTCTCCCTTCTGCACTCTCTCTCTCTACGTCCCTCTCTGTCTCTTTATCTCCCATTCCAGTAATGTAGAGCAAAGGGAAAGAGAACAACAATTCCACGCTTATTGAAATTCCAGTAATGTAGAGCTTAAGGTGTTGCACAATTGGTGTTCAAATTGAAATTGTCAATCAATAAATTTTGAAGGTGTTTGACTCTCCACCATTGACAACCATTAAAAAGATTTGAAGCTTTGAATTCGAATTTGGATTTTCAAAAACCATTATTTGTTTGGATTGGGTGTTGTTGGAAATAATTGAAAATATTGTTTGGAGTTTATATCTCAATTTTGAGGGTGTTTGGTGAAGATTAGACTTGATTTTGGCTGAATTTCAGATTGAAACTCAAAGAAGAAGAAGAAGAAGAAGAAGAAGAAGAAGACATGACACACAATATACTTACGAAATTATAGTAAAGTTGTAGTATAATTGTATGTAAACTATATTATGTTGTAGTTATATTTTTTTTATTTGAATATTGTATGAAAGTTGAACAATTGTTGTATAATATATGAATCGTTGTATAAAATATGTATTTAAGTTATCAATACAATCTTTTTACATAATGTTATTGATATATATCAAAATTGTATTAAGAGAGTAAGTTTTGATTGGAATTTTAGAGAGGAAGAAGCACACACCATAGATAAAATATATATAAATCAGTTCCAAAATATATACAAAGACATATTGTATAAAAATTGTATTTAAGTTATATGATATTGTAGTTGTATATAACTGGCTAGAAATAATGTATGAAAGTTGTAGATAAGTTGTATAATATATAATTAGTTATATGAAATTTATTTTTACTATATATAAATCAGATACAAAATATACAAATGACATATTGTTTAAAATTTATATAAAAATATCAAATATTAAATATTAAATGCAGAAAGTTCTACTACTACTTTTATTTATTAATTTTAAAACAAAGGAAGATAAATGAAAAGAAATGATCAAACAAATAGGGGCTACAAATCCAACATATATCTTATTATTGATTTTATTCGGTTGTTTTCTAGACAAGACTAACTAGTATGACCCCTACCCTTCGAATATCTTAAATTCTGACATCGTGCTTTAAAATTCTGGCAACAAACTTTAAAATTCTGGTATCAAGGCTATTTTTTCAAAAAATTTCTTAACGAGCTCAAAGTATAAATGGTGACACTAAATGATCCAATCTCTTTCGACTTTTTCCCCTCATTTTTACATACATTTCATCCACAACCAAATCACAATTGCAACGAAATGCGTTTTTTCATCGGACCTACTAATTTGTTTTTGTTTTACTTTTGTAGGTTTTCAGTTTTCACCGACAAAACGACATACACGTCCTCGTTTTGTTGTGATTTCTGTATTAAATTTTGGTTTGAGCAAATTTCGGGATGTTAATGTTAATTCAAATTATGAATTTTATATCTGTCCACTGGAGTAAAGTGAGAAAGAGAAGAAGCTTTTCTCCATAGATAGCTTCCAACAACTTCACTGGTATGTTGAATGCAGAATGCTTTTTTTAATTGGAGAGGAATGATGATTGAAGATGATTACATAGAGTCAGGACGCCACATCCAGTTTAGGTTCCTCCAATTTTAATTGATTACTATCTTTTAAGGCGGAAGAAAAAAAGGAAAGAGAAGAGGAGGAAAAAAAAGGAAAAGGGTGTAACTAAATCCCTTGATTGAAGGCACTAATAATGGATTGAGAGACTTTTAAGATGGAATGTATATATTTTGTAGATAAAACTTGTGTAGGTCGGGTAAATAACAAAATATGAATAATTTTGGTAATAAAGTTTCAAATAGTGTATTGGAACGAAAAATCCCTTATAAGTTTTATCGTGCTAAGATTGGGTTGGGTTGGGCCAGCCTGCTTTGGATATAAATAAAAATATAAGATTAAGGAGTGCCAAATTCGGTAAAAATTGTAGGGGACACCCTATTTGGTCGCTCCCATTTAATCTATATTCATTTTTTAAATTTTTTAACTTGTACCTACTTTTTAAACAACTTCAGTCCCCTTTCCCCTCCTCCTCCTCCTTCGTTTTCTTCTTCTTCTTCTTCTTCTTCTTCTTCTTCTTCTTCCTCTTCTTCTTCTTCTTCTTCTTCTTTCTTCTGCTGCTGTTGGTGCTGCTATGAAACTTTAATTCAGGAGATGATTGTCATAAGTATGTTTATCAGATTATTTAAAAATAAATTATAAATAGCTTTCTAAAGTAAGTACGTACATGTATGTAAATGTAAGTCCATTTCTTTTTCTTCACATTCTATTATTTTTTTTGGATTTAGCTTTGTACATTATCAATGCATTTTAACCTGTTGTGCTAAATCGTTATCTAATTTTTTAAGTTACTAATTCTACTTATGATAAACTTATTATTTGTACAAAAAATCAATTACATGATAGCATAAACACATGCTGAAGTTCAGCAAATATAGAATAAAACTTGCTGAAGTTCAGCAAATAGAGAACAAAACTTCAACTACTAGAATGTTTAAGTTCACCAATTACAAAAAAAAACTTCAGCAAATAGAGAACAAAACTTCAGCTACTATGCTGAAGTTCAGCAACTACAAACAAAAAGTTCAGCAAATAGAGAACAAAACTTTAGCTATTATGCTTAAGTTCAGCAATTACAAAAAAAAACTCCAGCAAATAGAGAACAAAACTTAGCTACTATGCTTAAGTTCAGCAATTACAAACAAAAACTTCAGCATACTTGGTTCAGCAATTTTTGCTATTTCAGGCCCGTCTACTAGAATGCTGAAGTTTTGCGTGATTGCCTTTGCTACTTTAGGCCCGTATGTTGAAGTTACGCGAAAAAATAGGTATGCTTGCAATTTTTTTTTTGCAAAGCGGGCACAAATTAAAACATGACCTAAAAAACAGGTATTGATGCAAATGCAAATTAATGTTGAATGAAAAGTGAAACAGAATTTATCCACTTAACTATCTAAAGATTACTTGAAGTTAAGGTTTGGTTAATACAAAGTTGCCAACTTCCATTTCCAGAACGGGTTGTGTCAAGCAACATAAAACGGTCTCTTAGAGAAAAGTAGTTTTGGGTATTACACCGCACGTCCCTTTTTCTGGATGTGCTGTACCTTAACTTGGTCAAACACTATAATTTCCAACTCAGCTTTTCGCTGTCCAAAGTTCCACGTCTTTCCCTGAAATGGTAAGCCTAATATTCAGTTTTTCTGTTAATCTTTGTTAGATTTGGAAAATCGAACTGAGAATTTATTTATCGCAGATGAGATCTGAAGTTTGGATGGCGGTCACAATATTGGTAGTGGCATGGAGCTTCAATGGGGCATTTGGGATTAGATTCGTAATTGAGAAAGAAGAATGCTTTTCACATAAGGTTGAAATGGGGGAGACGGTTCATTATTCCTTTGTTGTCATTAAGTCCGATGGCTCTTGGCATTACAGTGAAGAAGAGGGTGTTGATCTTGTGGTATGATTCACTTAACAGAGCTCTTTTTCCCCCATAAATTTATGGATTTTTAAACTATGTACATTCTTTTACTTATCAAAAAAGATAAATAAAGTTTATGCATTTCTCCTGATCCAAATCACCTTCATTGGGGCAGCAAACTAGTAGACCATCTTTCCTAAGGGTTTGAAGGGAAAAAAAAGCATCTGTAAATTCCTTATTAGTAATAGTTTATTAATTTCTGGTATTTTATTAAGATTAAACCTGGTAAAAAATGCATCTTACAATGGTCATTGTGATGCTGAACCTGTAGATAATGGAAGTGGACTTAGAACTTGGTGATGTTATTTGAATATTTTGTTGATTTTGGTTTCCTGAAGTGAATGTACAGAAACTAGAAAAGTTGTCTTTTTTATTTCTTTTCTAGAAAGCTAGCTGGCATCGACCTAAATAAAATAAAAATGTGCCTCAAGTAGAAAACAGTCCATCGAAAAACTGTTTTTGTATAATTTGGGGGGTGGGGGGGGGGGGGGGGGGGGGGGGGGGGTACTTGAATCCCATCCATGGGAATGAGAGTCTATGAGGGTGCATATTCATAGAAGTTTTGAGTTGCAGAGCTGTAAATTAAAGAGAATGGATTCTTATTGACAGAAAGAATACTCAGACTCTGGTTTTTCTTAATATTCGGTGTAGTTTGTTCCGCAATCGTTTCTTCATGCTTTCTTGATGATGATATCTTAAATAGTCAAGTCATACATTTTCTGCTTTTATCCATATTTAGCCAGTTATTTATAGTGGATTATTGTATTGATGTTGCTAAGATGGTGAGATTTTAGGTGAAGGGGCCTTCTGGAGAACAGATTCATGATCTTCGTGACAAAATAAGCGAGAAGTCCGAGTTTGTAGCTCATCATGAAGGAATTTACCGTTTCTGTTTCACTAACAAGTCGCCCTATCATGAAACCGTTGACTTTGATCTACATGCTGCTCACTTTGTATACCATGATGAGCATGCAAAAGATGGTGCGCGTGCTACTTTGCTTTATCTTGGTGTCGACTTCTTATACTTATATTTGATATTTTACTTGATTTGTTTGAGACTTGCAGAGCATTTCAAGCCTTTGTTTGTGCACATCGGAAAGCTAGAAGAAGCTTTATATAACATTCAGTTTGAGCAGCACTGGCTAGAGGCCCAGACAGACCGTCAGGCAATAGGTATTGATAATAGTAATGTTTACACTTTTTTCTTATATGAAGCAGCTTCAACTGCATCAGTACCAATTTGTGATAGAAATCGGTTACCTTTTCCCTTTAGCATGGCTTTAGAATGGGGTAATTTTTTCCTTTCAGTTTTCCTCCTTTGGGATGTCTATCTTGTTTTGAGAGTTTAGTATATCAAAATTAAACACTTGTCTTGGAAATCCATGATTCATGCCTGTCACCCACCTAGAATTAATTTGCAGTAAATGTACATCAGCTGAGCTACATAGGGTTGTTCACTTCTGCTCATCAACGTGGGCATCCACCAATAGTATGAATATCAAGTTGATGTAAAAGTTAAGCCTATTAACTCAATTCACTTTTGCAGTCGTTCTCTTGGGATTTACATTATATACCTGGAATTTAGTGGCTTAAATATTTAACTTTTACTGTGACATAGCGCCAGTTAGATTTTCATTGTGTTGTCTCAATGAGGCACAGTTCTACCACATGAGAATATTGTTCCTTTCCGTATACTGATTTCTCATTGGATTGACTCAATAAGACACAACAAGAGAATATTTTTTCTTCTTGTATATTATATACAACAACATTTGCCTTAATCCAAACAAACTGGGATCGGATATATGAATTCTCACCAACCACATCACTCCATTTGAATTATCTCATGTCAATATTATGCACATACAAATAAAAAGTACTTCATCCGTTTCAATTTATATGTCCTTATTTGTCCGTTCTAAAATAATGACACATTTTCATTTTTGGAAACGACTTTATTTTAAACTTTTCATTTTACCCATTTTACCTCAATAAGAAGTTTGTATAGCCACTCAAATTGAAAGCCACATAAAAGCTTTTACCTTTTAAGCTTTTACGACCACAAATTTCTAAAGTTCTATGTCATATAAATTGAAATGGAGGGAGTATTAGAAGTTCAGTGTATTTTCCAGGCGTACAAACCTCTAAAAGGTTAGACTATGGGTGTTTATCGGGCGGGCTGGGACGGGCTGAACGGGGAAAACCCCAGCCCGTTCGGTTAGCGGGCGGGTTGGTTAACGGGCTGGGATAATGGGTTCTTAGCGGGTTGGGAAAATCCGGGGTTTTTAGGGCCCATACGGGTTCGAGCTTAGCGGGTTCGGGGCGGCCGGGCTCCATTTTTTTTTTTTAAATTAAATTTTATTTTTCTTATTCAATGTTATTGATAGTTAAGTATTTGCAAACTTTTAAGGGTTAGAATTAAACTTTGAAGTTTAAAGTTTTAAATTTGAAATTTGTATTTTAAAATTATAAAATTGAAATTAGAAAGTAAGTGGCTACAAAAAATTATTTAACAAGAGTATAAAACCAATAGGCAATATAAAGAACAAACTTCGAAGGCTTTCATTTATATTTTTAATACTTCAAATTAATTTGCAAGTTCTTTTTTGATTTTTTTATTTTTAAACTTGCAAATTAAAAGTTTACAATAATTATAAAAAATAATAAATAGTATATCACATACTTTGCATCATTTTTGTAAGTTCTTCCATGTCAACATGAGGTTCTTGGTTTCCGACATTGGTTGAATTGGAACCATAAACCATTATATCTCCAATTTCTTGGTCCTCCTCTTCGTCTACCTCGTCACGCCCTTGATTTCGCCGTTCTGATCTTATCCAATCTCTGAAGCACACTAGAATTTCCAAAGCGTTGCTGCCCAATGAATGACGGGTATCTCCTAGCTGCTGCCTTGCTTGGCTAAATGCGCTCTCTGATGCGACTATTGAAATCGGCACATTTAGCACGTCTCGAGCCATGGCCGAAAGAACAGGAAATTGATTTGAGTTGCTCCTCCACCAACTCAGCGGTAGAAAATCCTTTGTGAGGGGCTCTGGTGACTTTTGCAAGTAGAATTGTAGTTCATCAATATTCCTGCTACTGGTTTGTTGATGCTCTCCTAGTGTAGACCAAATCTGATAATCTTGAACACAATCATCATCATCCATAGTTGTTCCAGATGTTGAAGGATTAGTTGAAGGAATATTTGCATCTACAACCGAAGAAGCATCAACAATGTTAGCATAATAATTATATAAAGTTTGTAAATGTGTGTGTAGCTCAGAAATACAAGTGTCAATATCAGGAGTTTCAGTTGGGCCAATATCCATATAAGTATATAAAGCTCTAATTAATTGGCGACACTTTATCATTTTGACAGTAGGGTTTAAAATAGCACCAATTAGGTAAATATAGGGAATTGGGTAGAAATACTTTTTAAACTTATCTAGCATAGATTCAACAACAGTAGCATATCCTTCTTTCTGCTTCAAATTATGTAGTAAAAGAGAAATTTCAGCAATATGAACTAAACCATTTGAAATGGTAGGATAATAAGCTCCAGAAAACTCAAGTGTAGCCACATAAATTTTTTGTAAAAATTGTACAACATCATGAATGACTTCCCAAGTTCTAGATGTTAACAAGCGGTTAGGATCGGTGCAATGAGAATTAGCAACTTCAGTTATAGACATTCTATATTTGTAACAACATCTTAAGAACAAATAAGTATAATTCCACCTAGTAACTATTTCTTCAGGCATGAGTCTTGGTTTTAGTCCATAGTGTACACATTTTTTCTTAAATGCATTTAATCTAGCACTTCTATTATTTCCTTGAATTACACCGACAACTCTCCTAACTAAAGTAATTTCATTTCTAAATAATTCAAGGCCACTCTTCACAATCAAGTTATAAATATGACATGCACATCTAACATGAAATATTTCAGGAAGTGATGGGTGTAGATGCAATTTTAATATTGTAATAGCAGCATTGTTGTTAGAAGCATTATCAAATGACATACACAAAACTTTTTCTACAAGATTATAAAATATAGCTACTTCATGTATAGTATTACTTATAAATGCATCAGTATGACTTTGATCTTCATCATATTTAAAAGCAATAATACATTTTTGCATACAAAATTATCATTTATCCAATGGCATGTAACAGTAAAATAATCATTTCCACTCTCAGTACGACCAATATCAGAAGTAAGAGAAACTTTACAAGGAAGACTTGCGAACAAATAACGTATATATGTCTGATATTGTCCAAAAAGCCTAAAGATATCAGCTCTACAAGTACTTCTAGGAATACCTTTAAACATAGGGTTATAAATTCTTTGAATATAAGTAACAAGATACGGTGAAGAAGCAAAACTAAAAGGTAAACAACCTAAAACAATCATTTTAGCTAATTCTTCCCGATCTTTCTTAATATCGTATTTCCCAAATAACCCACCAGTACTCGGGTTAAGTCTTTGTTGCCCANAAGGTAAACAACCTAAAACAATCATTTTAGCTAATTCTTCCCGATCTTTCTTAATATCGTATTTCCCAAATAACCCCCCAGTACTCGGGTTAAGTCTTTGTTGCACAGATGACTCATCTACTCCCCAATCAAGGGGGTGTTTCTCTTCCATATGCCTACGAAGTTGACCCGTTCCCCCTCCTTTACCGGGCTTATGTTTATAATGTTCGCCACAAATTTTACATTTTACATAATTTTTTTGATCTTCTAGTCTTTCAAAAAACATCCAACACTTACTTTTTAATCGTCGATTCTTCTTAATAGGGAGAGGATGCCTACTTGTTGCACCTGNTTTAATCGTCGATTCTTCTTAATAGGGAGAGGATAGTGTTAAAAATAGCGTGAAGCGAGGAAAAGCGACAACTCCCATTTCACGAAAAGCGAGAAGCGAGAAGCGAAGCGCCCGCTTTTTTGAAGTGAAGCGGAATTTTAAAAAAAAAAATTAAAATAAATACGGCATAGACAACACATGTAATTGTAAGCAAATGTTCAATACTTGAATTAAAAAACTAAAGAGTAGCATCAATTAAAGCACAAAATGAGCATCCTATTCAGATTGTCAAGAGTAGCATCAATTAAAGCACCAAATGAGCATCCTATTCTTCTACAAGATTGTCAAATTCTTGTATTCCACTATCATTATTATATTGCTCGTCATCTTCTTCAACTTCATCTTCTTCATCAACTAGGGACAAAGTAGCTGCCTGTTTTCCCTTCCTCTGTGAACTTGAAGTTGAGGTACTCCCCCTCAAACCATAAATCCTCTCCCCAATTCCACGCGCCTCCGCAACATCACCCCAAGTGATATCAGAAGTATCCTCAAATACTTCTTCATCTGCATGATCTTCCGGGACTCCAGTTAGCCATTCATTAGCATCATCGATGTTGTCCAAACTAATTGGATCAATTACATTGCAAGCGTTGTAACGATGCCTCAATATTCTATTGTACTTAATGAAGACTAGATCATTGAGACGCTTTAAGGTTAGTTTGTTCCTCTTTTTGGTATGAATCTGCAAATAATAAGTAATTAGTAAGATTAGGACAATTGAGATATAATTTAATTATCTCAATATACTAAATCTTTCTTATTAGTTCTTACATGCTCAAACACGCTCCAATTCCTTTCACACCCGGATGAGCTACCTGTTAGACTTAGAACCTTGATGGCAAACTTTTGTAAATCTGGAGTGGAATGACCAAATTGCTTCCACCATTCAACTGTAAAAGTAGAACAAATTTTCAAAACATAATATTAATAAAGAAATAACTTATTAACTATAAAACAACATATAAGCACTCGCTCACCTGGTGACTTCGTCTTTCTTTGTTTAATGGCCATGTTTTTTCCAAAAAGGTTTTCAGCATTCCTATAAATACTAAATTGCTCTGTGATTTTATCTTGCACGGATCTTCAGGTATCAACTTCTCAATGCATTCATAGTATCCATTCCACAAAGGTTCATCCCCTAGAATCCTCTCTTCATTGTCATAAAACAGTTTCGGGTTCAAAACAAGTCTAGCTGCATGCAAAGAGCTATGAAGCTTACTATCCCACCTTTTATCTATGATCTCAAAGACTCTTTTGTATTTTCTTTGATCACTAAAAGAGGCTTGAATAGCCTCCTTTGCCCTATCAATTGCTTCGTACAAGTAGCCCATTGGTGGCCTTTGCTCCCCATCCACCAAACGAAGCACTTTAACTAAAGGACCACCAATCTTCAATGCATGAGCCACATTGTTCCTGAATGAAGGAGAAAGTATAATATCTACAGATTCTCTCCCTCGAGCTTCCCTTCCATAGGCACTGCTAGTGTACTCATCTGAAACAAATAACTTCTTCAAATTACTTTTTTGCTCATACATCCTAGCCAAAGTCAAGAATGCAGTAACAAATCTTGTCTTTGCAGGTTTCACCAAGCTTCTTTGTTTAGTGAATCTCTTCATCATGTTCAATAACAAAGGCCTTTGAACAATATAGGAATGCACTCTAATTGCCTGATTAAAGACAGTACTGAAGGGTCTTTCCTTGAAAATATCACCGAAGATCAAATTAACAGAATGTGCTGCACACGGAGTCCAATAGATATGCGGGTAGCAAGCAGACATCATATCACCAGCTTTAACATTTTCACTGGCGTTGTCCGTGACAACTTGAACAACATTTTCTGCTCCAATAGAGTCTATTGTACTCTTGAACAAGGAGTATATTTTGGTTGAATCAGTCGAAGAGTCGCTTGCATCAATGGACTCAAGAAACAGCCTTCCCTTAGGAGAATTCACCAAGATATTAATGATCATTTTTCCCTTTCTCGCTGTCCACTTATCCATCATAATGGAACAACCGAACTTGTTCCATTCTACTTTGTGCTCCTCCACGATTTTGTTCACCTCTGCCACCTCCTTTTTTAGATATGGCCTACTAACTTCATAATAAGTTGGAGGCTTCATTCCTGGGCCATATTGGCCTACGGCCTCAATAAAAGCAGCAAAAGTATCAGTATAATTAACACAATTAAAGGGAAGACCTGCATCATACATCAACCGCGCAAAAAAGGTAACTGCACGGTCCCTCAAAATCGCTTTGGCATCAACTTGAGGACTACCACTTTTTCCTCCCTTATCTCCAGATTTTTGCGGGAAGTAACAATCCATAGGACCTTTGGTCTTGCCAGTAGATCCACAACTAGAAGACATTGGTGGAAGCATCCTTCCCCGTTTTTGTGATTTTGGTGGAAGCGACGAAGCATCCTCACCTTCTTCTGTTTCATCATCATCATCATCAAGATTATAAAGTTCTTGTTCATGCATCATTTGAGTCTTTAACTCTTTCTTTTTTTGAAGGTATGCTTTCAATTCTTCCTTCACATACCCCGGAACTTTAGGACAAGATGCGACATTTGGATCACCACCGATTAGATGCGCTTTTTGACGATAGATTCCTCCATATCACAAAAAGACATCTAATGGCCATCTTGTTGGTCTCGCTAACTCTTGCCGAGTAAGCCAAAGCCGGGTCTTTCCTATCTTCTTTTGGCGCCATTAAAATATCAACTACATAACACATAAGAAAGGCAATAAGAACTAAGAATAAGAAATATATAATTTGGCAGAAATTGGGCAGAATTTTTCTGAAAAAAATTCGCCAGCATTTCGGCGCTTTTTGGACGTTTAGAAAGAAAAAGAAAAAGAAGAGAAAGAAGAAGAAGAATGAAAATAAAAACATACCTGTTGAAACTTGAAAGCTGTTGTTGACTTGTGGTAATGTTGAAAAAGAAGAAGAACCCTAGTTTGCTTGAACAAATCGTTGCTTCATGTGAGGAAGAAATCGCTGGTTTATCACCCTAGGTTGCTGCTGAAGAATGACTAAAATAGAAGACTCACTCGATTTGGGTTTTTTAATCTAAAAGGACTCGTTTGGGCTTTTATTTCCAGAAGCGCTTGCTTCTTCCGCTTCCTACCACTTCACCGCTTCTCGCTTTTTTGGCAGAAGCAGTCGCTTTTTACCACCTGAGCCGCTTTTAGTTAGGGTAGCGACCTACCCGGCGCTCCGCTTCGCTTCTCACTTAAAGCGAGGAAGTGGTCGCTATTTTGAACACTGGGAGAGGAGGCCTACTTGTTGCACCCCTAATATTTTGAGTTTGACTAGCATTACCAGGTGTAGGTGGTGGTGTTTCAAGATTATCGGGTGATTGAATATCATCTAACAAAGCATCTAAATCATCATTTACACCATAATTTTCTTGCATTCGCTCATAATCTACATTTAAATTTTCAGGTGAACTTTCAGAAATATGTGAAGCTACTAGAAGAACCAACACCACCTCTTGTTCTTTTTGAAGTATTCTTACTACCACCTCTACTAGTGCACGCTTTTTTGGCCGCTCTAAGTAAATCCATTATATAAATTAAACTATTAAAGTAAGAAATTAAATTAAGAAATTAAATTAAGAAACTAAATTAATAATTAATAATTAATAATTCTAAATAATAAAATAAGGGTACACCAAATAAGAGAAAGAGATGGAACGAGTGTACCGGGATTCCTTATGCCGCACTAATTTTGAATTTTTGATATCAAAATTCAAACTTCAATTGATAGACCGAAACTTGATAGTTGATAATACTTGAATACTTGATAC